ACTTATTATCCCATTGTTTAATCCTACTCCTTAAATTGTTCAAAGTGTGTGACCCGTATAGGCACTTATAAAGCTGGCCACAGTATTGGCTCTGCACCAATACTATAAGCAATAAGCGGTATCTAGCAACACATTATTGCCCCCAGATTATAAGTTAAGACGTTTGCACCGTCAAAACCTTTCCACGACTCAGACTCCGTGTAACTGTATCCCTTTGTCTCAATGTCTAAACTTAATGCAAGGGATTAATAAAATCCAACTTGTATCCATTAAGTCATTCACTGATTTATCAAGTCCGACTAATAGGAACAGACGTCATAAAAGCATCTCAGCATGGCCATGCAATTTCCTTAGTCATAACTTATCAGTGGGCCCCATAAGACATTAATCTCTTTAAAAAGAGTAGTGACAAATGCTACGTACGTAATCTACGTTTCTGAATACGCGCTGCGGCATACCCAAAACAAAGCCTGTATACCATCCTTATTTCATATGGCTTAGGACAATGCATCAAAGTATGCGGGTTCACATATGCAGAAAACGTAATACTTTAAGTCGAAGGATAGTTACACCCGTGGTCGCGCTAAAGATGCTTAGAGCATGAACTAAAAATTCAAGCAACATCTTTCGAATGGGTCAGTCCGGCATCCTATTATCTATAGATAATATCTGCCCATGTGGGGATGCGAACACACCGTCATTGACCATGAGACTAAGTCAAACATCCAACACACACTAGTCTCACATGCATTAACGATATCCCACTCTCGTTAATACTCGACTATGGACATTTAGATAAATATTTATTTCAAGATGTTAGTCTCATCAGCAGAATAACACTATCTGATAAACATCTTTAAAAATAAATCTAGGAATATAATATTTGTTTACATTAGCATGAGATGTGTAAACATATTATATTTGCCTATACATAATAGAATAATGATAAACAGTTGGCCATCAGGGCACAACTCCAACACCTTTCCCATCATCGAGTCTTTGGTTGCAAATGTTTTATTCACAATAGCGGCAAAGATAACTTGGGAAAATTTGATGCCAAGTCGGACGAAGGGATTTTTCTCGGTTACTCACTTCGTAGCAAGGCCTATAGAGTGTTTAATAAACGTACTTTGACTATTGAGGAGTCCCCTCACGTTGTGTTTTCCGAATATAATACTTGCTTGGCGAGAAAGGCTATTTGTGATGATCTTGCAGATTCACTTGCAAAATTACACGTTGAAGACGATGAAGAAGACACGCCATTATACACCAATCCGGAACCACAACCTGAGGAAACACCTCAATTGATGGTCGAAAATGAGGACCAAGCAAACGAAGAAGAACACGAGGAAGCCCAGGAACAAGAGGAAACCGAGCTTCCCATCGCTTGGAGAACGAACAAGAATCATCCACTTGACCAGGTAATCGGCAGCACCAACCGCGGGGTAAGTACTCGTAACTCACTTAGGGACACCGTAGGACACATGGCTTTTGTTTCTCAAATTGAACCTACAACCATTTCCAAAGCAATAAACGATGAACATTGGACCTTGGCTATGCAAGAGGAGCTAAACCAATTCAAACGAAATGACGTTTGGGAATTGGTGCCAAGGCCCGATGATCGTACGATTATTGGTACGAAATGGGTGTTCCGTAACAAACTTGATGAAAATGGGATAATCACTAGAAACAAAGCTAGGCTCGTAGCTAAAGGCTACAATCAAGAAGAAGGCATTGATTTTGAAGAAACTTATGCACCCGTAGCACGTTTAGAAGCTATTCGCTTACTTCTTGCTTTTGCTTCGTCTATGGATTTTAAACTTTATCAAATGGATGTTAAGAGTGCCTTTCTCAATGGTTTTATTCAAGAGGAAATGTATGTTGACCAGCCCCCGGGGTTTGAATACTTTGAGTTTCCCGACCATGTCTTCAAACTCAAGAAAGCGCTCTACGGTCTTAAACAAGCACCACGTTCTTGGTACAAACGTTTGAGTAAATTTCTTTTGGATAATGGTTTCCAAAGGGGAAAGGTTGACACCACACTTTTTATCAAGAGTAAAAACAATAACATTCTTTTGGTTCAAGTTTATGTAGACGATATTATATTCGGTGCTACCAACGAGTCTTTGTGCAAGGAATTCTCAACATTAATGACAAGTGAATTCAAAATGTCAATGATGGGCGAGCTCACATTATTTTTGGGGCTCCAAGTCAAGCAAATGAAAGATGGGACGTTCATTTGCCAAGCTAAATATTGCAAGGAGCTCCTAAAGTGGTTTGAAATGGACAATGCTAAAGCCATGGCGACCCTGATGAGCACGTCTGACCATCTTGACAAAGACGAGAAAGGTAAGGAAGTAGAAGTAAAAAGATATCGAGGTATGATCAGATCCCTTCTCTATCTTACCGCTAGTAGGCCGGATATCATGTTTAGCGTATGCCTTTGCGCAAGGTATCAATCGTGTATGAAGGAATCACACTTAACGGCGGTGAAACGGATCATGAAATACCTTGTCGGCACGGTTAACGTTGGACTGTGGTATCCAAAAGGCTCTTCTTGTCATCTCGTTGGTTATTCCGACTCGGACTTTTCCGGTTGCAAATTGGACCGTAAAAGTACGAGTGGGACTTGCCACTTACTTGGTAGCTCTCTAGTCTCATCGTTTAGTAAGAAACAAGTTAGTGTTGCGTTATCCACAACCGAAGCGGAATATGTAACCGCCGGTAGTTGTTGTGCTCAAATCCTTTGGATGAAGCAACAACTCGTGGACTATGGCCTTAGTATCAATCACGTCCCTCTTCGTTGTGATAATACTAACGCCATAAGCTTGACGAAGAACCCCGTTCTTCATTCAAGGACGAAACACATTGACATTAGGCATCATTTCATTAGAGATCATGTTCTCAAAGGTGATGTCGTAATTGAGTTTGTTGAAACACACAACAAATTAGCTGACATTTTCACAAAACCTTTAGAGAAAGAGTCGTTCTTCTGCATTCGAAGTGAACTCGGAATCCTTGACTCCACGATGATCTAAATTGTGCATCTTAACTTGTTAAACGTTTACTAACTTGAGCGTCGGAGATCTTTTTCTTTTTTTGCAGGTACCCCGTTCATGAAATCAGGGGGAAGCATGCAAACAGCGCTGTCCAGGAGACCCAACAGCGCTGTTGAGAGAAACACCGTCAACCAGTTTGAGCCAACAACGCTGTACAACACTGCAACATCGCTGTCACAGGGAGTCCCTTTACCTTATGCTTTCCAGAATCTCTTTCAACAGCGCAGTCCCTTTTTCAACATCGCTGTCTACCCAAAACACATTGTTTTCAACCAAAACCAGAAACTTTTCAAACATCGTTGTCCCCCTATTCAATAGCGCTGTCCATTTTTACAAATTTTTTTCTATCAAAAAACAGCGATGTAGGGAAACCCAACAGCGTTGTTCTAATGGGTTCAACCCCTTACATATTTCCAGAAACTTTGGGAACATCGCTGTAGGATACTCAACATCGCTGTCCATTTGACACTTGTTTTTAAAATTAGTTGCACAACAGCGCTGTCTTGAGGCTCAATAGCGATGTCTGGACAGCGATGTAGCTTTTGACGACATTGCGGTTCTAACTGAATTTTTCAAAAAAAATACCGTTGGCAACTGCATTAAAAGCTCCAATAGCTATTTTTTCAAACTTTTGAACGTTAGGAACCCATTCTCCTATATATTTGGACCCCATCTCCTCACTTTTACACACACAAACTCAATTCTCTCCCTTCCCCTTACATATTTCATCTTCTTTACAATTTTTTTTGAGAATTCTTCTTCACCATGGGCAAAGACAAGAGCAGGGCTGCCTCCTCCGGGAAATCAAAGTCCAAATCCCGGGCACCGGCAACCTACTCCGAGGAGCGCCTCTACTACGGCGGTGGATCGTTCCTCTGGTTCGATTCCGAGGAGGAGCGCACCCGTTTCCTCACTTTCTTCTCTAAATAGGTTGTGGCTCCCCCATGGATCGTCCCGAAGCGCTTCCCGGAGTTGCAGGGCTACGACGATCTAGACGCGCAGCTTCATCAAGCCGGCCTATAACCGTTTGTGTCCCGGGCTCGGAAGGAGATCAACCCGGTGCTGATCCGGGCCTTCTACTCCAACCTCCGGCGTGAGGACGACGTGCTCTACTCTCATGTCAAGAGCACGCCGATTGAGCTTTCCGTTGAGCAACTTGGGCGCATCGCCGGCCTCCCCTACCAAGGCGACGACGTCTCCCACTATGGAGGAGAGGACTGGGTGCTCAACAACGAGGGCCTTATCCTCAACGAGCTTGGCATCACCGAGCTCATCCGCCATGCCTCGGGCCGCCCCACCATCCACTCTGCAATTCCCGAGAGCCGGCTCCTTCTCTACATCGTGTCCCGAATCATCAAGCCCCGGAAGCATGGGCACACGATATGTCCGGTGAGGACCTCAAGCTCATCCATGCAATTATGCACACGGCCCCGATCAATTGGGCAAAGTTTGTCATGATCAACATGTCGGTCGCCGCGTCCACCGACCACGTTCACCTCCTCCCATACCCGTTTGTGGTGATGGACATCCTTGAACGGTTCAAGGTAACCACCACTCTTGGCTCGCTCACAAAGGCCACGAAGCTTTGGATGATCAGCACCCAAACCTTCACCAAGCGGTTGGACAACGTCACGCCTGCCACAGCCGAACCCCAGGCCCGGGCCAACCTTGCCTCCATCGCTGACTCCCTCAACCGGCTTCACTTCAAAGTCGACGGGATGGATGGATACCTTGAGCGGCTAGACGAGGCTGTCCAACGCCAAGGGTACGCCATGAACGCGTACTTCCAACGCGTTAACTACGTCCCCCACCGTACCATGGCACGCTCTTTGGGCAAGTGTACGGTGACGAGGACGAAGACGATGCCTCCTACGCCCCGTCAAGCTCCCCGGACGAAGATGAGTTCGACGATGCCATCGATGGGGATGAGATGGATGTCAACGACGACGAGGAGGAAACCGAAGACGAAGACTAGGACACCCCTAAAATTTCTATCTCTTTTTTATTGTCCTGTTTTTATTTAATCGCTTCCGTTGTACTCCCCTTTTTCCCAATTCAATAAATAAAATTAGTTTTTTTCTTTTTGTTAATGTCAAAAGGGGGAAGAAAAGGGTTATGCATACACTAAGGGGGAACGTCTCTAAAAACGGGATCGGTTGATTTTAATATGACTACTCGTTTTTTTAAGCACAAATTAAGGGGGAATTTTTTTCACACTTTTCAAAATCAAATATCCCTTAGTATGCATATCCCCGTCTTGTTTGCCATTATCAAAAAGGGGGAAATTGTTGGAACACGGGTTTACGCCAATGTCGTACTAAACCGTGTTCGTTTTATGACAGGTTTTGATAATGCTAAACCACCGTGACAATGACAAGGTTAAAGTGAGCAAAACCAAGGCGAAGGAACATGGCATGATGATTTGAGAACCAAGAACCAAGAATCAAGAACGAAGACTTAGAATTGTATTGAGTCGGTCTTAATGTGATCAAGATCGGCACAAACTTTCAAAACATGGCTCTCTAGGCTCATTTCATCAAAATACTTTTTGCATATTCAAAATGGTTTTCTTAAGCCTTAAACCTGCCTAAAAACACTTGGAGTTCGCCCAAACCAAAAACCAAGCAATCCGGCGTTCGGTTTTCAGAAACCGGGTTCGGCTCTCGGTTATCGGCATTGGTTCTTGGCATCCGAACCAACCAAGTGGTTTTCAACTTTTAATGATTGGTTTTTACTTATGGGTATATGTAAATAGTTCTCCAACAAAAACGCCTCAAAAATCATCCTTCGTTTTTGGTCGTTTACTGAAAACCATGCGAAACGGCGTAAACTTGGCTAGCCGTGGTTTTCGACTAAATGACGTGGTTTTCAAAATGTTTTACTTGCTTTCTTAGCAAAATGCATTAAACAAAAATTTTCAATACTTAGTTTTTGTTTTGGAGAACTTACATTTTTGAGATCGGCTAACGCCATAACTAAACCAACCATGGGTGTGGCTAAACCAGCCAAACAGCGATGTTGGTGTAACCAACAGCGCTGTCTGGCATGGGTAGCTGAAAACCATGGTTTGGCGTTAAGTCTTCCAACATCGATATTGGTTGTTAAACATCGCTATTGAGCCAAGGTTGGGTTTCCAGAAACATCTGGAACAGCGATGTAGCCTTCCCTACATCGCTGTCCAACCTAAACCAAAAATAATTGCATTGGCAGAAAGTTTTTGGACAGTGTTGTTGTCCAAGTAACAGCGCTGTCTGGCCATTTCTTTCACTTTCAAGTCAGGCCTAAATAGCGATGTTCAAGAAATGAACATCGATGTAGGCACGTAACCGTTGGAAGGAATTTAAGGCTAAAACTTTCCTTGTTTGGAAGTCAACAGCCAAAACAACGATGTAGGGGTTTTGGACATCGCTGTTGGCATGACCGTTGCTTCCCATTTTTCAAAACCCAAGCCTAGAACATCGATGTCCAAGCCTAGGACAACACTGTCTAGGTGAATTTTAGCAGATCCAAATTTAATCAAATCCCACAAATTGTGTCAACCACCCCTTAAATGTTTTGTTCCGTTGGAGCCTATTTTTCCAGTATAAAATGGGGTGTTTGGGTCTGTTTTACATATCACATTACTTCACAACTCCTACTCTTTCATTGCAAATCATTCATCCTTTATTCATAGCTTTTTAGAGCCATTTTTGTGAAGCTTGTGTTGTGTTCTTGAGCGTTCTTAGTTACTCATTATCCACTCTAAAAGAGAGTATTGTTCTTGAGTGTTTTTAGTGTTCTTAGACACTTGACAAGAGAAAATATTCTCTTGTTGTTCGAAGGAAGGGTTGTTTCCTTCGAAGGTTCATTGAGGTTCGTGTGACTCGAACTCTCAAGTTGTACGGGTTTGTTAAGCACCGTTAAGCTTAACGAGATAGTAGTGTAGCTCGAGAGAGTCTCTCGGGAGGCTGGATTAGCCACAAGTTGTGGTGAACCAGGGTAAATTCGGTGTGCCTCTTACTCTTCTGTTTACTTCTCTTTCATATTTATTTTTAATTCCTACGATTTCTTGATCAAACGCTATTTACCCCCCCTAGCGTTGGTCTATTATTCTAACAGAATTAAGTGGACTTCACACAGTAACATCAGGGAAAATCTTTCAGAAGCAAATCCTTGGGCAGTGGTGATGTTGGAATCCGGCGGCGGGCACTCTGTGACCCGAATTATGGCTTTGTCACGAGCCCGACCAAAAACAGGGTCCAGACTCCAGAGCGTGACGATTGAGGGGCTTCGGGGGTGACCGTTGGATGAGGCGGTGGGTCATTGCGAAGAAGCCTTAGGGAGCCGAATATGGGGCGTCGGGCTCCGCTGGGAGAACTCGAACCGGTTCCAGGATCTTGGCGGCTTGCCTCTTGCGACGGCAGACAAAGTGTCGGAGCTCAATGACTGGTGGCTTCTTGCAGCGGAGTGCTGTAGAAGCGGAATCGGTGCTGATAGGGTGTTGGCAGGGAAAATCTGACCTTGAAAGAATAGCTCGTCGGCAAGACACATCTCTGACCCTAGAAGTATAGCTCGTCGTATTGCTTTAATTCACCCAAGTTGAAGGCAGGGCAGATCGAGTCATGAGTCAGCAATGGTGAGCCTCAGCCACAACGACAAATTTAAGTAGTCGCGCCGGCAGCAGGTCGACGCCGGCTTAAGTGTGAAGCAATGATGATGTTGGCTTCAACAGTGCATCGGTGTAGGAGAGGTTGGCTTCAACAATGGCGGTGGCACCAGCGGCGTCAACGGCGGCAGACCTCAATGGGAGTGTGGGTGCATGGATATCCCGCTAGAGCCGATGATAGATCTCCGTCGAAAATGACGAGTAATCTCTTCCCACAATAAAGTTGATTTTAATTGAGGGTTGGTTGGATCCATTGCGGGTGGCAGATTTCATAGGCAGTCGGGGTGATTGATTTCCTTGGCGGTGATGACGACTTCAGCTCCAGGCGCTAGATGTGAACGGTGGCCTGGCCGCTCCTCCCCCCTTGCTTCTTTGGTGTGGCGGTGAATTTCAAGACTCTTGGCGACAACAACCAGAACAGGTTCAGCACCAGTGATGGTGGATTTCCAGCAGCTTTGCCGACAACTTGAAGAACGACGGTGACGGGGAGAAGAATGCTCCGTGAACAAATTCTTTCTTTCTTTTTTACATTGGAATCTCTCCCCTCTTTTTTTAACAGATGGCTCTCTCTCTCTCTTTTGGTTTTTGCCCACTTTTGTGTGGTAAGAGAAAAAAATTGGCCGAACAAAAAACACAACTTTTTGTTCGGGTCCCACGGGTGGCGCCAAAATGATGGTGTAAATTATCAACTGGTATATCGTTTTTAGTCAGGCAAAAACGATAAACTAGTCTAAAAAATACCCCAAAATATAAACACGGGAATTTTGATGTGGAAACCCAAATCGGGAGAAAACCACGAGCCTTTTTTGGCGGTACCTTGCCAACGGGGGAATTTTATTAATATCGGGGGTTGTACATGGTACACGATTTAGGCTAGGAAGCCATTAATGAAGCTTAAAAGCTTATTGAAGAACAAAAATGATAGAATTCTAGAGAGAGAAACAATAAATGGGCAGGGAAGGAGTGTATTGAGAGAGGCCTCCCTTCTCAATTAGGCAACCCTTCTTTTACAGGGAGGAGGGGGCATCTTCGGAGGAATATTATCTTATTCCTCTATTTTACAAAACAAGCCCGGTTTGATTATTCTTCGTAAATAATTGGAAAATGTGGGCCGAGCCACGTATTATTTCCCATCAGTATCAAAATAGAAGTTTCCTTTTTTTATTTCTAAAATTGGAATTACAATATCAATGTCAACCTATAATAGGAAAAATCCAAATTTACACTCTCAAAAGGTAACAAAAAAGTAAAATGCACCCTCATTTTTTTCATATTCTATATTGCACCCTCAAAAAATTAATTCCTTTCCTTCATCATCTAATTGTGTACAACGTCTAAAAGCTTACAGCCAGTTTGATAAGTTTTGGTGATATGATATGGGTTTTGAAATTTAGGAGAAACGATATGAGTTTTGAAATCTGAAATGAAATTGTTTGAACGAATTTAAAATCATGATCTAGTTAGTGATATGTAGGGGTGGCCGGTGAAAATCGGTTTACACCCTAAGAGGGGGGTGAATTAGGGTGTTTGCAAAAAAATTTTTTTAAAAAAAAACTAATGCGCAAAGTAGTAGCGGAGAAAGAGCAAGAAAAGTATAAAATATAAAAATACGACACAAGCGATTTTATACTGGTTCGGGAACTCCCTACTCCAGTACCTCGAGGCTTCCCCTCAAGGATTTAACCTCCACTAACTTGTTTGGCTTCACTAAGAAGACTCAAACGAGGTTTGGCAAACAACCCTTGCCAATAAGCAAACGAGATTTTACTACGGCTATCTCAACCGTTTACAACCGAAGATTTTAAGGCTATCTTCAACCTTACAATGAGGATTTAAAGGCTATCCACACCTTTTACAAATCAATAAAAGATTGGTGTTGCTTCTCTACCAAAATAATAACANTGTTTTTCCTGCAAATGATGTTAGTAACATTTCGAAGACTTATTTGGCACATCAAAACGGTTACGGGGTACGGCATTCAAGGCCAACAATCTCCCCCTTTTTGATGTTGACAAATAAGGCTTTCGAATATAATAATCAAACGCACAAACATATCGTGAAAAACATATATTGATTTTAAAACTCCCCCTAAGTTGATGCACGTGATATTTTGATAAAAACTCCCCCTAAATTGATGCATATGAAAGCCTAATATTTCTCCCCCTTTTGGCAACATTCAAAAAGGCAGGGTACCAAAAACACGAGGTTCAACACAATGACATTCATTATGGCAACAATTATAGGCATTCAAGTGGATCATAAGCATATTCATAAAGGGGTTAACAATCATAAAAGTGCATAAGTACGAGTTTTAAACATAAGACATGATAGGAGGTTGAAACATAAAACAAAATACATAATAATTTTTTTTAAAAAAACATAGATAAGTGAATGTTTAATCATTTTGTCAAATGCTCAATACTTAGCGACGACGTCTAGAAGTACGATCCTCATTTTGCTTTTGGCGATTCTCACGGTCCTCCATCTTCTTCATCCGATCCGAGAGGTCATCAAGGCTTTCTTGAATTTTCTTCATCGGAGCCACTACGGTCTTGAGGATGAATTTCTTGAACTTCTTGAAGGGGTTTTTGGAAGTGGAAGCCATTTGAGAGTGACGGTGCAATAGAGAGGCCGAAGAAGCATGAGACGCCGACTTTGAGCGTTTGACCCTAGGAGCACGAACGGGGACATCCGTGTTGGCATTTTCTGTGGCTTCGGCCCGGGGTGCTCGTGAAGTAGATGGCACAGAGGACAAGGATCATCGAGGGCCATACTCCGCTCGTGTAGCTTCATCAAGATTTTGAAACTCCTTCTTCATGTAGTACGCTTCTCCAATCTTCACAAGGCCACAATAGCCAAGGCACTCCGCATCAAGATAGCGGACACGAGAAGGGCGCACCTCAAGAATTTCCCTCTTGGCAAAGATGTGGGTAAGAAGCATGCCATAGGGTTTGTTTTGGCGACCGGAGCATTCGTACATGAGTTTTAGGATGATGGAAGGGAGATTGATTTTCTTGTGAGTTAGGAGCCAATATAGAAGAGTGCATTCATAAACCCCAACTTGTTTATCTTTGTTAAGGACCGGGATGACATTTTCTTTGAGGATTTTGAGAAGGATGAACCTATTTGCGGGTAAGTCTTGGACATTTGGCCTACGAGGGAAGTAGTTCGGGTCCTCAAAGACATGGTTAAGGGCAATGTTGTTTAGCACTCGGAGGCAAGAATCGGAGTTAAAGTCTCGTGAGTCGGTAATCCACCCCTTTTTGCAATAGGTGGAGACTCCTGGACGCTCTAGGTGAAACCATTCGGCAAGGTTTTGGGTGTTGAATCCGAAGGTTTTTCCAGCAACTACGGCAGTAATGGAAGGGTCTTCGGGATAGTATTTCATAGAAGAATAGAATTGATGAACGAGGTCCGGGTAAACGGGGGCTTGGAGTTGAAGAAAGAAACTCCAACCTTGTTCTTGAATTAGTTCAAGAACGGGAACCGGGATGTCATCTTGTTTAAGGGTTCTCCCAACAATGATATGTGGGTCGGCGTAAGCCTTGAACCCACCTTGGACATCGGGTTGAACATTTGAAACAATTTCACTCATTTTGGAGATTTTGAGAAAATTAGGAAAATTGGACGAAAAATGGGAAAAGTGATACTTAATGCACGAATTAAGGAGAGGATATGGAAATTGAAGCTTAATTGATGATAAAATTGATGAAATTTGGATGAATGTTTACCTTGGATGCCTTACGGTAGAAAGGAGACGAGAGAGGTCGCCGGGAGAGAGACGCTGCAGATGCCGAATAGACGCTAGTCTAGGGTTTTAAATCGTTTTGACCCGACGAGAGGGTCGGTACCGAGGTACCATGGTAACGGTATCTTGGTACCGTCTACACGGTATGGTGTACCGTGTCCAGATACCGTGAAGCTTCCAAAATCCCATTCGTTTCTGGCGGCACCTATTTTGTACGGGACCATGGTACCGACAGGGGTACCGTGTCTCAGCTTAATGTTTTGTTTCGACTTCTTGACGCGTGTTTTGAGCATTTGGACTTGATCAATTTATTTTTATGATATAATGGGATAATAAGAACCTTAAATTTCACTTTAATTCAAGCATTCCCATTTCCCGACAAATATGTAAAAATTGTTTTTCATCTAATGGTTTTATAAAAATGTCAGCACGTTGTTCAAGTGTATTTACATATTCAATTTGAATATCTCCCTTTGCAACATGATCACGTATGAAATGATGTCTTATTTCTATATGTTTAGTTCTAGAATGCAAAACAGGATTTTTGGAAATATTTATTGCACTTGAGTTATCACAAAAAATAGGCACTTTTGAAAATTTTAAGTTAAAGTCACTTAGTGTTTGCATCATCCATAAAATTTGAGCAACACAACTACCCATAGCCACATATTCCGCTTCGGCGGTGGATAGGGCGACGGAGTGTTGTTTCTTAGATGACCAAGACACTAGTGCATGACCTATGAATTGACATGTGCCACTTGTGCTTTTCCGATCAATACGACACCCTCCAAAGTCGGCATCACTAAAACCTATCAAGCTTAAATTCGTATTCTTAGGATACCATAACCCCATATTGGTCGTTCCCTTGACATACCGAATAATTCGCTTGACGGCATTAAAATGTGATTCTTTAGGTGATGATTGGAAACGTGCACAAAGGCAAACGGAAAACATTATATCGGGTCTAGATGCAGTTAAATAAAGCAAACTACCAATCATACCTCGATATACCTTTTCATTTACGGGTTTTCCGCTTTCGTCGCTATCAAGCTTCAAGGATGTGCTCATTGGAGTTGGATATATTTTTGAATCTTCAAGGTTGAACTTTTTGACTAATTCTTTGGCATACTTGGTTTGACTAATGAAAATGCCATCTCCAAGTTGCTTAATTTGAAGACCAAGAAAAAAGTTCAACTCACCCATCATGCTCATTTCAAATTCGCTTGTCATGATTCCTGAAAATTCATTACATAAAGCTTCATTAGTTGACCCAAAAATAATGTCATCAACATAAATTTGCACAATTATGAGATCTTTTCCTTTT